TTTATGTCAATCTTTGAAGAATTTACTAGCAATTGTTTTGTGAAAACTGTTTCAACAGCAAATGAGTGTCCTATTAGTTTGTTTTTATATAATTGCTATGGGAGTCTGTTTTCACCATGGAATAAAACATTTAAAAAGATAATAGTGACTTTTTATCTCACAATTTAGACTTTTTTTTTGAGAAAATGTCAGAATTGTGAGATATAAACTCAAAATTGCTAACTTTTTTCTCGCAGGTCCAAGTTTATATCTCACAATTTTTTTCTCTCTCTGAATTCTGAGTTTACATCTTGCAATTCTGTTATTTTGTATTTTGCCATGGAATAAAAAAGAAAAAAAGGACATTGTGATTCTTTATCTCACAATTCTGTTTCAATTTTTTGTTTCTCACAAAAAACTAAAAGTTCCAATTACCTTTTTTTAAATCCTGTAGCAGAAACAAGCTTCTATAAATTGCATTTGAATACACTTTTAAAAATGTGATGATCAATAAGTCTTGGCAACATTTGTCAATTTCAACTTAATTTTTTTAGTTATACAAGATCCAACTACGCAAGTTTTTCAAAATGAGTTAAAATAACTTGTACAGCCAATTTGATTGTATTTAAAAATTGAAGGCAGCAAGGCTAAACTATACATTGCTTTCAAAGTATATTACTAGTCTTTTATGCTTAAGTAGAAAGAACGACTCCACCAGATCATCATTTGGGATTCAATTAGAAGTACCTGGGGTGTATTCAGAACATGGAAAATCAGCTTTCTCTTACTATGTTCCTTGGTTGTGGAACGATTTTCAAATTATTACTCCATTAGAAGCAATTCCTTCTTTGAATATTTGTAAAAAATTCATTGCAGCATGTAATGAATGAACCTTGTTGTGGTTTTAATTAAGCTGTTGATTTATGATTACTGTTTTGCTTTGGTCGTATATAATTTTGTTTTGTGTCTTGTATATGTTACTTTTTTAAATTTATGTGAAACTTCTGTACGGTCATCTTGACCAAGACTTCCTGGAAGAAGAGATTTCATTCAATCACAATGGGACCTTCCTGGAAAAATAAAGGATAAATGATGGACAAATGTTTAAATGTTGTCTGAGAGGCTCAATGTTTACACTTTTGGGAGAAATAACCCCATGAATGGCTGTATTTTGACATAAAAATCTTTGTGTGTTAATAAAGTGACTGATGTTCTTTTCTCAATGGCAGCCTGTGATCAGCTGGCTCTCGGTGTGGCCGCCGTGTTCGGCCCGTCCCACAGTTCTTCAGTGAGTGCAGTCCAGTCCATCTGCAATGCTCTGGAGGTTCCTCACATCCAGACCCGCTGGAAACACCCATCTGTGGACAACAAGGACAGTTTCTACATCAACCTGTACCCAGATTACGCCTCCATCAGCCGCGCCGTGCTCGACATCGTGCAGTTCTACAAATGGAAAGCAGTGACGGTGGTGTACGAGGACGCAACAGGTGGGATGGATGATTTTTATTGCTCAGAAATTTCTCATTCATTGCTTAGGAATGTGGCGTTCTCAGATATAACTCAAGTATCAACTTTGGCGCGTATGCTTCTTCTAAAAAAATTAATGTGTGATATAAAACAGACACAAATGAGACAGTTATTGGCATGAGATGGAACAAAGGAAACACACACACATATGTAATGGCCTCATACAGCAGTGATATAATTAAATAGAATTATATGGAACTTTTCCAAGTGTGCAGGAATTAGATGCATTTATCATCATCATAATATTGTGTATAAAACCATAATTATCAACCGTCCCGTGAGTGTCTGATGGTTGTTAGGATCTCAGTGCTTTATGAAAAATGTCCATAATTCACATTTCTGATCTGAATTTGAAATTTTTGTGAAAAATGGTGCAGTAAATATTGACTTCGAGATCATATCCGGGATAATTTGACTTTTCTTCATTATTAAAAAGATTAGGGTATGATTAACTGTGTGTAATTTGTCAGGGCTGAAAAATATTAAAAACACCCCAAAACAGCAAGATTTCTGTT